TAGGCCACAGAACAGTAGACATATTAAAGCTGAAAGCTGTACCAGACAGGACCAGCACCACCTAACCCTGTGCAAGAAAGCCTGAGAGCTTGTATCATGGGCAACTTCTGCAGACAAAGACAAGAGGGATCATTCACTGGAGACGCTGTGGTAGCAACACTTTGAGCTATTCTGAAGGCTCTGCTGGAGGAGTTTATTGATGCTCAAGAGAGTCGGGGGACTGGCCTGCTGATTTGGCACCTAGCAGAAGTGCTCTTGTCCTGCTCTGCCACCAGCCCTAGGAAATGAAGGGTGCAAGTTGTAAAAGGGGGCTTGATTGTCCCAAGTATGAAGTAAACTTGGCTTACTTGGCCTATCACTTATGTTTGTGGATTCCTGGACTCTAATGTTGATGTTGCCTTTTGGAGGGAGTAGATAGTGGGACTTGCAAAGCTTCTTAAACTCTAACATTTATCATCATGGTAAAAGCTCAGCTGGTCTTCTTTTGCAAACTTTAACATGCTGGTTTGTGTTGTTTTTTTTTTTTTTATTGCAGGTAGTTACAAAGGAATAGTAAAAAAGCAGGAAGCAAGTGATGCTTCCAGTACTTAGATCATACATGTCTTTTATGCTGTATAATTTACTCTGAAATTCTTACTTTTGCTCTTGAAAAGCAGTGATTTAAAAAAAAAAAGAAGGAAGTAAAAGTGAAAAGTGACAGAAGACTATATAAATAGTTGTGAAATATCTTGGCTATCTTTTATACATCAGAAAATAAAATGTAATTTTGCTGCTGCATCCCCTTATCCACACCCTTGTAGTCCCTTACCCACATCCTTGTAGTCCCTCTCACATATTTATTTTTATGGTACCCAACATACCAATCACACAATGAGATCTCCACCCCAAAAGAAAAACAAATGCACTCAGCATCTTACTTTTACTTGGCTCTGGATCCTGAAGCAAAATGTTTCATTCCACACTGGATCTTTGCAGTTCTTGATGGTTTTGGTCCGGACAGTCTCAGGGGAAGCGGTGGGCAAGGACAGGCTTACATAGCAATCAGTTTGACTAACTGTATTTGAAAAGATATACTGTAACTAAGAAATTACTATAAATATCTTAGATCATAGCCTTATAGCACTATATAGACAGCAAGCTGCAAAAAGGAGATACTGTTTCTATTACTTTTCTTACAGGTCCTTATTCAATAGCACTCTACTATTTTTTCCCTCCTGCAGGTGGGAGCTCTGGTCATTAATAGAGATTCAAAGAAGCTACTGCAATAAAGAGAACTGGTAAGAAAAAAATACGCAGAGCTAGTTTTGCTCAACAAAACCCATTATTGGTATGTCCCATTTGTTGCAAATCAACAGATCTCTGTGATGGAGAAGAAAAAAGTTTACATTTTAAAAGAACCTTTTTAAAGGGTAAAATACTTACTTAACTCTTTGAGCACTTATACAAGGGGCTAACTTTGTCCTTTGCTCTTGAAAGGGGAACAGAAGAGCTAAAGAGGGTCTGGGTACAAAGGATCTTCCCCCTCTGGTCTGCTGCCCCCACGTAGCTGTAGCCCAGTCCATGTAATGAAGAAGCAGACTGTCTCACCCAACATGTGATCACATCCCTTCACCGCCAACAAGTATACAAAAATAGCAATGCACTTTTATCTTACTGATTTAAAATCTGAGCCTTCATAGTGAAGAAACCTCTAATTTCTTAGAAAGGTGTTACCTTAATGTAGGTTTGAACACAAGGTCGCACAGTTAGTTACAAGTATGGTATTAAACCTACATAATACACAGAGGCTGCTTTGGGGTGGGCTCCCAGGAACTGCCCCCAGCCCCAAGGTGGGGCAAACAGCCTCCCGGTCGGGTGAGCACAACTATGCCGGCCACCGCTGCAGGGTGTTGACGAGTTGTGTCTTGGGGATTGCTGGAGTTTTCAGGTGAGAGGCAGGTTGGGTACTTGTATGTCTGTGCAACTAACTTTCCTTTTGTGTGCTGACCTGATCTGTGTAGGGTGTTTTGTGGTTAGGATTCTCACTGATACTGCTAAGAAGATAATGCGGTTTTTGGCAGGGAGCAGTGTTGGGCATCTGCTCCTAAGTCCATAAAAGAGCTGATGTCTCATGACCCTGTGGTAATAAACTGAGACCCTGAAAATAACAGCGAAGAGTGGTGGGACTCACTCTCCCTGCACTGTCGTTCACCCTTTCCAGACCTCCCTTCTGAAGCAAATGTGTTGTCCTTCAGTTCTGTACACTGTTTGCACTTACCTGTATACAACAGACATTTTTTTTTATCTGCCGGGCAACTACAGCTGTCTCTAATGTCTCCCACTCTAAGAACTTGTTTTGTAATCACAGTAACAGGTCAGATTTGGGTCTCATAACAGGCAGTTTGGTACTGTGGGATACATGCTGAGAGGCAGCATGACCAAGTGGGTAACCTGCTGGAAAAAGTCTCATGACATGTTGGCTCTGATCGCAGCTCTGCTCCAGCCTGCTAAGTCACTGTGGGCAATTGCTTCTATTCAAATTTATCTTGCTTCTCTATCTGCATTTCCCCATCAATAAAGCAGTGATAATGAACCTTTCCTCTTTTGTAACCTGCTTTGACATCCCATGATTAAAAGCATTATACAAAAAATAACTGCTATTATTAGTATTTCCACATGACCCACAAGAAGAGAGTGCCTTATCAGTATACGTGTTATTCTTTCTCTACCAGTCTCTTGGTTCTCATTCCACACTTTCTTTAAACTTGTGTTGTTACCCATGTGGCAATGAATAGGTACTGCTTAAAGCAATTTGTGCAATCAGGTTATGTATGATTTATCTTTCAAGTCTTCTGATACAGTCTGAACATGAAACATCTTCCAGTTTTTCAACATGCATTTGATAGTTTCCCGCTTACTGTCCATAGCAGGGAAGAAATTACTTTAACATTGCAAATTTAGATGTCTATAATTCTTGTAAGTAATATTAGTATATTTTTAGACTTATTACTGCAATTTTAAATGCAGAATATGTGCAATGTATTTTTAGATAACAATTTATTGGTCAAGGAGGTTATAGAATAATTTCTTTAGCTCTCTCCCCCACAATATTTTCTACAGTTCTTCCATTGATTTTTAATAATTGAAAAAGAGAATATTAACTTTGCATAGTCACTTCCTCAGACAGTGCCAGAGAAGCAGGTAAGAGTGAGAAATTATTTCTTCAACAACTGTATCTGTCAGTTACGGACTACTGATACATGTGTGTTATAGAGACTTTGTTCATTTATGGTCTGGGATATCTCTTTGCTGTACATACTAGCTAAGAATCCTGATTTAGAAGACAGGCATTTGATATTTTCAGAGTATCAAAGAAGCCAGCTCTAAACTTGTGACTTATTATCTTGTATCTAGATAGAGCTGTTGGGATCTGTCTTCAGTCCTTCACCCTCTCTGAACACACTAGACCTATAGCCAACTTGAGAAGTTAGTCCAGTCTTTAGCAAGGCTGTTCACCATTAGTAAGAGCAAAAACGAAGTCCCACAACCTGATGATCCACACGTAACACCAGCTCAGTTAGTAACCAGCGAGGCCTTGGTCTCGACGTAGCCCAAGACAAGAATGCAGATAGACACAAAGATATTTGAATCTGAAAACAAGCAATTACAGCCAGGCCACTGCATGAAGAATAACAAGTTATGCCCCAGAATTATAGTGTTGCAGGACTTATGTGATAACTTATATATACAACACAGATTTAGATAAGCTTTGGACCAAATCCCAAATACATAATTTTAAACGTAAGTGCAGGTGATGAGATTTATCATGAGATCTCTTTGCATGCACTCCCAGTCCTGGACAGGAACAAGTGGATGCTGAGTGTCTTCCATGTTCCAGCTCTCTTCCACTCTCTTCCTCCCTCCACCATAAAAGGCTTTAGCTGTGACCAGCTATTAAAATTAAACATGTCCAGATTGAAGAAGATTGACTTAGACAACCTGGCATATGAGAAAGAGCTGAAAGAATTGAGTTTGCTAATTCAACAACAACAACAAAGACTGACAAAGGACATGGTAATAGTCAGTTCTGTGATGTCCAAATGATTGATAGAGAGAGGACAGCGATCAGTGGCTCTGCATGGCCAGAGGGAAATGAACAAGGGCAAATATTAGGAAAACTGCTCCAGCTCTAAGAGAGTTAGCTATAGCGAGAGAGATTTTGTAAATTTTCTAGGTAACTCATTTCAGAGGGTATTGGTACCCAGATATGCATCAGAGTGACAGACAAGGTAAACTTGATCCTGCTTCAGGAGAAGAGGACCAGACCAGGTGAACCTACAAGGTATCATATGGAATTGCTGCCACGTGATGCCCATGTTTATGCTGGAAGACAATAAACAGGATAATCGTGTCATATCAATTATATTGCGTGGAAACCAACTAACCGGTCTCCCTGCCAGCCTTGACTGTCAGGGGAGGAAGTGATAGGACATCCTTATACTGTACACCAGCCCAAGAGATTGATTCCCAGATACCTGGGCGCTGCCTCCAAAACAACTGCAAACATCCTTCTTTGACACATACAAAGTAAGACTGCAAGTTCGTTTGAAAAGTTGCCACCTTTCCTTTCCAAACACATACAATGTCCAAGTAACAAGGCCTAAATCCATACCTAGAGCCTCTGTGTACCATCCCAATATAACTGTCAAAAGGAAAAAATACAAAAAGCAACACAATATAATGCAGAGAAGCCCACAGACAGCAGTGCTACAACTTTTCCCCTCCACCCCATCTCCTCCATGAAGCAACGGGGGATAAATTATATTACCTAACTGGTATTTTGGGTACACGTAGCTGTTCTTGCAAGATTTGTACATGATAACAGAGGCACAGATGTCATTAGAAGACCCTTACATATGCTCTCTTTTGGCAAAGTGGAACTAGAAATCATGTATTTCCATAGGTACACCCATTTTTAGACTTTTCATAAGCATTGCCACTATTTCACTGTTCCCACTCAGCCAGAGTGGGAGTATCAGCCAGTAGGAAGCCATATATTTTTGGCCAAGAGGTATTATTAAGAGGGCAGACTTCCTTTGTTCCACCTCAGACCCTCTTGCAGTGATTTGTGGTACAATCTCACATCTATCACTAGAAAATATCTTTTAGAATGTTATTTCATTTCCATTTAAAAATAAACTAGCCAAAAATTAGGTCTTGGCCAGACAACACCACTGTTGATGCAGACACAGTGGGTAGTTAGAACTGCTGGGCATCTAAAGAAACCGTTATCAGAGGGAAACATCACGGAAACAGGCTGCAAGCAGTACACAGAAGTGCCTTGAATTTCAAAGAAGATGAGAGTGGAAACAAAATCAATACCAGAAGCAGCTGAACCAACAAACCAACATTCACAAATTTTCTTTCTTCAGAAAGTGTTCATAAGAATGCTATTCACTCAGTAAGGGAATCGAAACAAACATGTTTTTAACATTTAGCTAAAACTAATAGGTTTTTTCGCCTTAAACATCATTATTTTGACTCAGAAATGCCTCTGACATGCTTTATAAAAACATGTAGTTATGGTACTTTTTCTCGCATTCTCCTCCAGGATTTTTCTGAAAAAGCAGGAGCAATACATCATGGGAGGTCTAATCTTGTACAGGCTAAGCTGCAGCACTGACAGTGCTCTGCAGCAGTAATTCTAATTTGAATTTTTCAATTGAGACTCAGAGTTTTGAAATCAAAACTTTTCTACTGAATAAATAAACCTTACAGCAGGGACATCTCCCCTATATATCTTTTCTTTTAAGTAAAATTTGGTACTGAATGGGAAGCTACCAAAAAGCTGTGGCTCAGTATAATAGTGAGGACAAAGTCAGCTGACTGGCACGAGGTGTTCCTCTTTTGCTGGGTTTGGTGTATCTCAAAACCAGAAAATATTTGCAAATATGATGAGTGAGGTTAAAAATATCCCAAAGGAAACAGCTAGCACAGATAATCCATAGGAGTTTACTGTAGATTCTGTACACATTAAAAAAAAAAAAAGATACCTGTAGATGTTCTTTTTTTTTT